GAACTGTGCTTTCACACATTAATATTTCGTATGCCGCTGTTCGCCAAACTAATAATTTATGCACTGGATCAATTGGAATTGCAAAAGTGAGCAGAAAAATTACGATTTTTTGATACATTAATCATAAACAACCTCAAACCTAGAGAATTGTTTGAAATGTTCACTTTTCACAGCCAGAGGTCACCGATTTTTTAAAACTGAACTTGTGTATTCGTTAGTGACAAGGTAATTTAATGCTATTGTTTTCACGTCTCAGCAAAATACATAATATGACGAAGGACGTCACTTGTCGTGGCTAATGAACAGCAAAAGTCACTTTAATCTTTTCGTGTTAATTTATATTGGAATTTCAGATGAGTTTATCTCATATGTTGCGTTCAAATGATGATATTTCCTTTTTTAATCAACTCTCAAACGAATGTCGTGAGTTGAAATTATGTGTTTGAAGTTTAACGGCTTTCGGGTGCCAGATTTACTTTTTACTGTGGGCCTGAATTCCTCCATCCTTCTCTTCTAATACTCATGAAAAAGTTTTTGTGGTTACACGTATTCGATAAGCGAGATTTCCACAAGAATATTAGATAAATTTGATGAAAAAAGTAAACAACTTGAAAAGAAGACACCAAGACGAAAGCTTTCTCGACATATTTACTAATATGACTTGATATACTTGCAGTTACTTTAGCACACTCAACTGTTGTAAATATTGTATGGCTTCAGTCTAACAATTTAGATAGAAGTAATAATATTTTACCACGGTTAATTCTCGCATTATAGCCATGTTTCTGACTCCGATAAAATTTTGGTCGATGAAAATCGGGAATGTTTTGTTTCATGGTATTTAATACATAATCTTTGAGATTTTCATAACTGAAAGATCCATAAATTATCCAACTTTTCTCTCAATAGTTAAACTGTCATTACCAAGAGCAAGTGCTCATTTGTTTTCAAAGTGTACAAATTCCTTGCAATAGAAATATAGTACAACCTTAGCTACCCTTCGCGCGTATAATGAAGTTAATTTATTGACTAGGTGACTTAAAAAGATGGACAAAATCCATAAGGTTAATTCCAAAAGTTACTTTTTTCTTGTTTTTTGTTTTTGGCATAAATGACAAACCACAAAAATTACGTGGATAGCTCCAAGCATAAATGTAATCAAAAGAAAGCAATATAATAAACATAAACAGTGTTGGACTTTGAGCACATTCGCCAGCTTATTATTCAATCTGAACTGGTAAAGATTTTGACTGATTACCATACTAAAGCTAACTTTTGGAGAATCGTGCTACATAAAAAATGAGTAGCAGTGATGAAATCTTTTAGATATCATGGTTCTGCGGCCTACGTGGAAATGAGTTCTTTTGTGAAGTAAGGGAAGGATTACATCCAAGATCGATTCAACCTTATCGGTTTGTCAGAGCAAGTTCGTGAATACCGTGGTGCTCTCGATGTGATACTTGATTTGGAAACTGACCCTTCAGGTAATCCAAAAAATACTGATCTCGTTGAGCAAGCGGCTGGAATGCTTTATGGGCTAATACTTTCTAGATACATTCTGACAAATCGTGGTATTTCTTTTATGGTGGCAAAATGGCAGCAAGGGGATTTCGGTCATTGCCCTTGAGTTTACTGTGAAAGCCAACCATGTTTGCCAGTCTGTTTGTCAGACTTTCCTGGTGAAGCTATGGTTAAGATACATTGTCCTAGATGTCAAGATACCTATACACCGAAATCTGCTCGTCATCATCATACAGATGGAGCGTATTTCGGTACTGGCTTTCCGCATATGTTATTTTTAGTTCATCCAGAGTACAGACCAAAATGAGCTAGTAAACAATTTACTGCGGAATTATTTGGCTGTAAAATACATCCTTTGGCTTGTCAGCTACAAAAAGTTTTAAAATCTTGATGTTTAAGCCACTTTGGGCATAACCGTAACACCAACATAAAATCAATCGACTAATTAAACTTGATTTATGGACTTATATCGGTCATATAACAATAAAATTAGTCTGTTTGCACAATAAACTAGAGAGTAAATTCCTGAGGCTACTTGATTAAGAAACTGTGATCACTTTTTGAATGGCTATTAAGCAAAAGTTTGCTTTTAAAAGGTTGTACAGAGAGACTACAAAACTGTAAAGTTAGAAGTTGACATAAAGCATCACCGTATGAAGCATTAGGCTCAATGTCGTAAAACAATATCCTAATCAAATTTTTATTTCCGTTTATCACTTATTAGTTGTTGAGTATGAATGTAGTGTTTATTTTGTCTTTAAACTTAGCAACCTTCACGCGACCCTGTGTTCTGTGTGATAAAGTTCATTTTTAAAGTAGTGTGACGAGTAGTCCAGCGTCAGGAAAAGCTCCTTTTGACTAATTCTCGTTTTTAAAGCTTCATAATAAAAGTTTAGTAATTCACCTGGTAAATCGTTCAGTGATAAATGATATCTGGGAATCGACTGAAAGTTACATATAGTTAATCAGGCTATGAAGTCACTAACCACTTGTATAGAAGCATAGGTTCTTTGGCTGTAGTTTGTAATATACCGGAATCCAGTAGTGTGATATAAAATAATGTATAGCTGGGCTAGTGTAATACAGTTACCGTTCTTTTTCTGAGATTCTACGGGATCGTTTAACGCTCTGACCAATCTACTAGTTTTTACTGATAAGTTGACAAACTTAATATTTATCTCACAATTTCTGTATACTTTAAGTCAATAATTGAGCCTAGTGATGGGAGGTCAAGTACCAAAAATTCGAACTATGGGAACTTTGTTTCCAGCAGTAGTAGTGGACAACCTTGCCGGACACCACTTGAGGTTGAAAAATCAGATGACAGTTCTCCATTGGCTCTGACTTTATTGGCGGTATTTGAGCTAAGAGCTCCCACAAGGTTTGTGTACTCTTGAGGTACACATTTCAATGAAAGACACTGCCACAGAGTCTCTCGGTCTGCAAAGTCAAGTTCTGCCTTTAAGTCACTAAAAACCATCATTGTTCGACTGCGGTAAGCTGTCTTTGTTCTAAAATAAGACGAATGGTGAATATGTGATCGTGGCAGTCACGACCAGGCATGAAAATGACCTGGTTTTCTCGTATTAGTAGTCATCAGTTTTTGTTAGATACTCGATATTTATTGAGGCTAGTATGTTAGAAACTCTATTAGTCAAAATAATCCCTTTGTGGTTATCACAGGATGATTTGGATCCTTACTTATATGTTAGGACGACCGATAATTGCAACCAGTCAGATTGGATTAGGTCTAGTTCCCAGATCTTAGCTAATATATTAGTCATCTTAGTCTCTAAAACTGAACTACCATCCTTAAAGACCTCTAGAGTTAATCAATCTGGATCAACTGCTCTTTCTTGTTTCAAATTAGCTATAGCTTGGAGGATAGCTGACTGATGCGTTCCAAGAGAGCAATGTTATCAAACAAGGTTGCTTACTTCATCATTCTTTTTCTTCTACTGGTCCACTAGATTATGAAGGCTTTCTTACCTCAAAAGGAAGCACGGAATGCAATGAACAGCTTGCATGCGGCTAGACGACTTGGAATTCGCAGATTAACTAGCTCTTCTATCCCATACACACCAACAAATCCAGGTCAGGACAACCAGTCTAGCAGCAGTCTACGAAGTAGTAGAACTCAACAAACATAAAGCAAGATCTTCAAATACAACATCACGCTTGATGAAGAAACTCTGGAAGAGATGGAAACGTCCATTTATTTGGACAGCATAATCAATGAACAAGGAAAATCCGATTCAGATGTAAAGGCAAGAATTGACAAAACAAGGGCCGCATTCCTACAGTTCAAGAACATACGGAACTAAAAACAACTGTCTGTCAGCCAACATCAAAGTCACAATCTTCAATACGAAAGTCGAAACAGTTCTGCTGTGCGGTGCTGAAAATTCGAGAACTACTACAACCATCATCAAAGAAGTAAAAGTATTTCCAGACATTTGTCTATGCAAAATACCCAATATTCATTCACCGGATACCATCAACAACAGCCTTTTATGGGAGAGAGCAAGCCATCTACCATCTGATGAGGAAATTAGGGAAACGCACTCCAAGTAGATAGAACATACGTTACGAAAATAATCAAATTGCATCACGAGGTAAACACTAACTTGGAATCCCGAATGGAAAAGTGGAAGGCCAAAAAACCATACTGTGTCGAGAGTTTGGGACAGACATCAAAAGGATGAATAATAACTGGAAATAAGTGGAAAGGACAGAGATGAATGAAGAATGTTGGTGTCTAGCCTATGCTTCTTGAGGAAGGGTTGCCCACACCATGGAAGGGTTTCTCTGGAGGTATCTCAAAAGGAAATCCGGTTAGAGTTGATATAATCGACATGCGAGCGTGACCGCGATGCGTAAAAGATAACTGCCCAAGACCGGTCACACACGACCATTTTGTGGGTAATTTTTGTGTTAGCTCCGTACTTGTTGAAACCTTACCAACGCAGGCGGAAATCCGTTGGATAAGGTGAAGTGTGCATTTTACAGCGTCGACTTTTTATAACTCTACTCTTCCTTTGTAGGAAGGCAACATTGCTGTTTTACTGGTTGTCTAAAGGAAACACCATACTTCCGTCACACTTCTGTACATTCAGCAGTACAAGTTTGTCCCCGGACCTTGGGTTTGCTGCTTTTATTCTCATCGCTTTTCAACTGGCTTGCCTGGCATGGTAGAACCTTGAGAAACGATTGTTCCAGGCAGTATAGCTCAATTGCTTTATCACGATAGGCAAGCCCGACCACCACATCAAGGTAGTAGCAACGGTTGGGTCTTATCAGAACTCTAGAAATCCCTCTCGAAACTAGATAGTTGTCAGTATACAATTTTTGTGCAAAAAACGCAAAGATTGTTTGATTTGATATTTGTTTTTGCTGTGCAACGTTAAAGGTTGATTAAAGTTGAAAATAAAGACAAATAAAACCCAACTCATCGGTCTGAATGTCAAGTGCTTGTTATGTAACTTAAAGGTATGGGATCAAGTCCCATGCTAAGACTATATATATTCATTGATTTAATCTTATTGTATTTTGTAAATCGTCCAGATGAACCATCAGTGGGAGGCTTATTTATCGATTAGCCATTCATTAATAATCTTAATCATTAATTGAAGTAAACTCATATAAAGCAAAATTAATATTCAGTTAATACACCTTATCATGGTTGAGCTTATTATTAATCCCACTTATATGATGGATTCTTTAAGAATAATTAATTAAGTAAAGCGTAACACTTCAGATTCTGACGGGAATTCATTTTTACAACTTTATTTATATCAATATCTGAGGCATATTAATGAACTGATGTGAAAAAAACGTATTTGATCATCCTTGATTTACTTAATAAATTCTTCCAGTTAACTGAAATTGGTCAAATACAGTGAACTATTACCATGATGACATAATTAGGTAGGGTTCTTTTAGAACTTAATGCGTCAATATTTCTTTAGCTAAATCTTGGACATTTAGACTGTTCTTTGTAGCAAAACATATGATGCGTATTTCTGACTATTTAGGATTCATCAGCTGTGTATATCTGCACCTCAATACGGATGATCACACTATAACTAGAACCCGATACCTATTGTTTCGAACATCGATGAACTATTTCACTAAGCTTTTAAGTCCTCATATTCACTAACATGTTCAATAGTTATGAAGTTATCTGTAATGTGTCTAATAGCATGTTGGAATTTGTTTATTTTATTTATCTAAACACATAAACATTGGCATAAGGAGGTATCAAATATATCTGTGCCGTACAAATAATTCGTTTTTTGTGGGGGTTGAAATTGTGCCAGGGAGCCCCAACTGAAGCAGGCGTCCGATAAAAATGTTGACATTTGAGGTGATAGGTATTAGTTTTAAGCGCTATTTCGATTATCACCACAGAGTTGAGGATAAACCTAGCTGATTAGATTTGCACTAACACATATTCTGTGTCCTAACTTTCATCGTTAACCATGCATCAAAAGTACTACGTACTTTTAAGTAGAAGGTAAATTCAGTTCAGTATGGATACACGTCAATGGAGACTGACAGATTTTGTTACTTGTTTTCAGTAAAATGACAACACAACTTACTTCAAATAAATAATATTTGAAATGGTTTTTTTTATGAATAATTGAATAAAAGGTACCAGTTATTTGTACACTTTCTAAACTAAAATTACTTCTCCTAACCTTGAACTGATGCTTTTTCTGTAGAGAGGAATTACACAAACCATTTGAAATGCTAAAAACGAAATATAGAAACTATAGGCGATGATAGGTAATAGGTATCAGTGGACTTGAGAACGCGCGTTACGTCCTATTTAGGACTCGTCAACTGGATGTACTTGTATCCCAGAGTTGATGTTCACTACGGAACTGTTCGCTTCAAACGCCATTGCGTTATCCATTTAGCTACTGAGTCCTGTTAGCCAATTGCTTGTGCAATGGGATGAATTTCAAATTCATTTGGTATTGTTTACTTGAATCATCTCATTGATGTTTAGGACTGAAATTAATCAGTCTGTTGTCGGCATATGTGCATATTGTGAGAATTACCTCGATGTTGCCTCAAGTCACAAGCATGATGTGCAGAAATGATGGTGGCTAGCAGTAGAATGCACGACGTGCGTTCCGTTCTATTCATGGCTCGTCAACTGGATGTACCTGCATCTCAGGGTTGACATATATCTCAAGAAGAAATTGATCGATTTCAGTCCCAGACATCAATGGGAAGGTTCAAGCAAATAATACCAAGTGAATTTAAAATATAAAAACACTTAATTCAGTGAAATAGTATGTGTTTCGAACATGATTTATTTCAAATTTTGTAATTTCTTAATTATAATGTATTGTGTATTGGATTCTGAGGCTGACGTAGTCATTTATGTAATCATATGGTCAAGTATATCAGAATATGATATCAGTTAAAAGTGATTATATTCAGCGTTTCAGCTTCCAAATAATTATTTATTTTATTTATTTGAACACATGAATATTGGTAAAAAATGAGCACCAAATACATATACGCCACACAAGACACTTGATTTGTGTGCGGACTGTGATACTGCCCAGGGGCCCAACCGAGGCAGGTGGTTTTCTTAGGAGGCCACACACAGAGCATTCGACCTGAAGGTCTGATCCACAAGGCGATCGAGGAATGTCAGGAGATGCAGTCCCATGGTAGCCGGTGACCAAGAATTGGTTCATATGCCGTTTGTCCCTTCAGGATACTGGAGTCCATGTACACCATTGGTTTAGAATCAGGGTTTTCCAACTCTCCTAGGTGGAACTTCCATACTCACCAACCTGGTTAAATCTCCGTACATTCACTTTTCGTTCTCTCAATTTCGTAAATAATACCCCCGCCTCGATATGGCAGTGAGTAGGACTTCCCTGACAGTGGTTGTATACGAGCATTTCGAGAGAGAGAGAGCTGACTCTCCACATTCTCGGCTATACCAGGATATTTGACGGCTTTCAAATATTTATCATGTTGTCCATTCTGAAATCAACATATTTCACAGGAAACATGACAATAAGCATTTCATCTCTTTTCATAACTATTTTTCTCTCTTTTTTTGGTTTTAGATATACAAAAAATAGTATAACTGAAGAAGAATCAACATTCATGCCTATTCAACATTTTCCGTTGGAAACAACTAATTGTACTCCATCACCGTCAATTCGAATAACCAATGGAACTGAATGTAAAGTATTGATTGCTATTACTGTTCCAACACGTAATTGGAAAGTGAGTTATTGGTACTACTGTTATTACTGTCATTATTATTATTATTGGTTCCTATCATCATCTGGACAGTATTTTTTGTATGTTCTTATACTTTGTGTTATTCGTCTTATTTAAATGTATCATAGTCAGTAATTACGGTTGTTTCCATTCTACTATAGAATGAATTGAAGTCATAACTTTTGTTATATTGTCATTTTTCTTGTATCATAACTGGTTACTTTATACTTGACACACTTTTAGTATGATAGAGTGGTATTTTTGTTGTAGAAAACGTTTCATTCTTTATATAAAGCAGTAAAAATGAAAAAGAATAAAGTAATTCCTACTTTATTTTTGTTGACTCTCAAGTGCAAAGTCAAAGTTTCGAATAATAGTGGAGTTGATCATCACCTTACATTTGATAATTTCCCCAAATGCTCTGGTACGGTCAAGAGTGGAGAGAATCATCTCTCCTTATCAAAATGCTCTCATATGGCCATGTGCATACAACCACTAATAAGTGTTAGCTGATGGATAGGGTAAATTAGAAAAGATCTAGATATACACCATTTCAACATGCTATCTATATCGTAACTTTAATGTTCTCATTGAAATTTTAATAGTTTTATTCATTTATAATCTATGTACTTCATCTTTCTATGATTCATTAATGAACAATTCTAAGAAGTTTTCTTCGATGAGACGATCTTTAAGAGACTTCCAAATGACTTTGAGAATGTCTACCAATTTATTAGAGGTAAATGAGGATTATAAACATGTGTGAAGAACAAAGATAACGATTTATAATTGATGGTTAGGTTTAAGAGTGAGATTTATCAGTTTCATCATGAAATGACATCATCTAATATGTCAAGACTCTATTTAATCAAATTGGATGAATAAATTTCGCGCCAAAATCTATGACCTTTTATCCTAAATCTGATTGGTTTGTCCATAAATTCTAATCCCACCATCCATGTGTTTATTAAAACTATTTATCAAGTTGATCATATTATAGTATATCAAGAAAACAAACATATCAAATTTCAATCATTCTTGGCATAAGTGAATATTTGTATAGTTTACATTGATTGGCCTTGATATAATGTTTAATTATTAATAGAAGTGTATTAAAAAGCGTATATATGTATGAATTATAATGTGTATAGATGTTATTAGTTTAGTCAACAGTTTCTAGTCCGTCAGAAAGAAGCTGGGCCTATTGTGAGATAGTAACTCACTGACGAAGACAATGGTGAATGTATCACTCCAGGCGGAGTTATTCAAACTTTGGATCACCAAATTCTTTTCTTTTTTTTTAAGAAAAAGTTTGTTATAACTCCTTTCCATATTCAACAAATCAAACACAAAAAATAGACTGTTTTGTGTTATTTTTTTACAAACGGAATATATGAAGTCTACTACTGCAGAGTTAGATAGTTTTTAATATGTATAATTGAGAATACTTACTTACTTACGCCTGTTACTCCTCGTGAAGGAGCCTAGGCTGCCTACCAGCACTCTCCAACAAACCTTGTCCTGATAATGTAAACAGGTTATTATTACATTTGAGGCTGATGAATATAAATGAACTTTCTGTCAAGGTCACTGTTATGTATCAGTTCGATAGTAAAAACATAAGAGTAAGTGGCGAGATGCCTTGTTTGATCTAAGTCCTACACAAGTTGGAACTGATTAACGAAGTGCATTCAGATTATTGTGGTAACTAATAGTCCCAATGTGGTGACGAATAAACTGTTGGGGTCAAAACTAGCTTCTTGTCAGATTGAGATATCTACAATTGATTGATCAAACAATTTCAAACCTAATTTTATTACTAAAGCTTGTGTGTGTGTGTGTGTGTGTGTGTGTGTGGATACAGCTCTAAAGTCAATATGGAATTTTTTCTAGTAGTTTCAAGAATTCTAACTCATACTTATGCCTGTTACTCCTCTTGAAAGAGAATAGGCTGCCCATCAGCACTCTTTATCCAACCCTGTCCTGGGCAATCCTTCCCAGTTGTTATTCATCTTTTTCATATCTGCTTCCATTTCCCGACAGTGTCTTCGTCTTTTCTGCTTCGCTTCAGGATTTCAAGTTAGTGCTTGTCTCTTAATGCAGTTTGATGATTTCCTCAATATGCATCCTATTCAACTTCAGAATCTTTCCCGAATTTTCTAATCATATCGGCTCTGATTTGTTCTGTCTCACAGTAAATTGTCACTGATGGTATCCGGCCAATGGATATTGGGTATTTTGCATAGACAATTGTTTAGAAATGCTTGTACTTCTTTGATGCTAGCTGTGGTAGTTCTCGAAGTTTTGGCTCCGTATCGTAGGACTGTCTTGGCGCTCGTATTAAAGACTGTGACTTTGATGTTGACTAAAGGACAGTTGTTTTTAGTTTCATATGTTCCTCAATTTTTGGAATGCTACCCTTGCTTTGCCGATCCTTGTTTTTACGTTTGTCTCGGATTCCAAGTTTTAATCGATGATGCTGTCCAGGCACGTAGAAGATTCCACCTATTCCAGAATTTCTCCATCAAGTGTGAATGACTGAATGATTGGAAACTCTTGTAAAGACCGAACAGATGTTTCGCCTAAATTTGACTCTCCAGAAGAGTACTTATTCGTGATTTTATATTACGAGGATCGGCAAAGCAAGTGCCTTATCCTACAACTAAAGAACATATGGAACTAAAAACAACTGTTTCTCAACCAATATCAAAGTCAAAATCTTCAGTACGAACGTCAAGACAGTTCTACTGTACGGAGCTGAAACTTCGAGAACTACTACAACCATCATCAATGAAGTACACGTATTTATAAACAGTTGTCTTCCCAAGTTACTCAACATCCACTGACCAGATACCATCAGAAGCAGCCTACTGTGGGAGAGAACAAACCACCTTCCAAATGAAGAGGAAATTAGGAAAAGACGATGGAAATGTACAGGACATATATTACGGAAATCACCAACCTGTATCACGAAACAAACCCTAACACGGAATCTTGAAGGGAAGTAGAAAAGAGGAAGGTCAAAGAACACATTACATCGAGAAATGAAAGCAGATATGAAAAGGATGAATAACAACTGGAAATAACTAGAAAGCATTGTCCAAGACACGGTTGGATGGAAAGTGCTGGTGGGCGGCCTATGCTCTTACACAAGGAGTAACAGGCATAAGTAAGTAAGCAAATAAGTCGTATTGCATCAAACTTGATAGTTAGTCAAAGAAACATTTACATCAATATGTAAAGGTTTATGACTGATATCAGTTCGAAGAATGAGCGTCGATGATGTTGACGATGATGATGACGAAGGTGACGTTGATGATGATGATGATGACGTTGATGATGATGACGATGACGATGACGTTGATTATGATTTACATCTGACATTTACTGTAAATTACTTCATTTACTCTTTTTTTTCATTGAATACATTTTATATCATGTGATAATGAAACAAAAACCCATGAATAAACTAATAATATTTTACTGAATCATTTTTATATGATACATTTTTGGTTGACATTTAACTGACAAACAATTAATTATACAATAGTACTGCTAATCATTTAGTGTAATCCAAAAAAAGATAGAGCACTTTTTTACTCGCACCACTATAATGTTTTAAGGCACCATTTTATTGATTACTTTAACAAATGAGTTACTTCTTTTTTTGATTTTACTTACTTACCCTTGTTACTCTTCATCAAGGAGCATACGTTGCTCACCAGCATTCTTCATCTTATCTATAACAAAATAGATTGTACTAATTTAATTTAATATTTGAACATTTAATGAGGAAAAAAAGTGTATTTCGAGAAATTAAGAAATTAAGATCATGAACCGATTGATATTAGACCACCATTCAATACATTGGAAGCCGTGACAAGTGAAGTTAGACTGTGTCGGGTAAAGACAGATATCTACCTCAGGACAATGGAAGATTGTCGCGCAATTTCGTGGATTAGTTGAAGTTAGACATTAACATCGTTGGATGCTGGCGAGCTCAGTAATCTATAGGTTAAACGTTTGCCCGCGAGACTGATAGGTCGTCGGTTCTAATCTCGTTAGGCGTAATCGTGAATGTTCACTGCCACGGGCGAGTCCCACATAGGGACGAAATGATCGTTCATTGATTCCAGGTTTTACATTGTGGTCTAGTTTCAATTGACTCATGATCTCAACTAATAAAAAATTACTATAATATCCACAAAACTCCTTCTGATTTAATTAAATTAACGAATGAACAAAATCATTGTTTATTTATACCAACTAAACATTGACAGAAATCAATTTGAAAGTTAAAGATATTACCGTAGAATTGAACAGAGATAAAAACTTTGATAATTTCATGTTATTTTAATTGAGTTAAAACCAATATTGGTATTTTAAGAACTAATGTAATTTGGTAGACCTACCAAAAGATGTTTACATCATACAACTTCCACTAAAGCCCGCTAATGCTTTGGTACGATTGAAAGTAAGGAGACTTAGGTCTCTTTCTTGGAATCCTCTGAAATGGCCGGCCAGATAAAACCACTGTCAACGAAGTACTTCTTACTGCCTTCTTGCGGTGGGGGTGCCATTTACAAAATTGACAGAATGAAAAGCGAATGTCTGACGCTCTAACCCAGTCGGTAGCTATTGAGGATCCATCTAAGAGAGTTTGAAAATTACAATTAGAAACCAATGGTGCATGTAGGCTTGAGGATCTAGAGGAAACGACTGGCGTATGAACCCTTTCGTTGGTCACTAACCACCATGAAAGTGAATCTTCTAACGTTTCCCCACTATCTTGTGGATTAGAATTTTAAGTTGAAGATTCAGAGAGTTTCCTTTTAAAAAAAAAGATCTGACTTGATTTGAGCACCTGAGGAGTATTCCAGCATTCACACAATTCGAATGGTGTAGGGTTGCGCTTACATATTTGGTTTCTTCTTTTACCAGTGTTTATGTGTTTAAATAAATCAATATTTACCCACTAAGTTGCTTACTTCTAACTGGTTCTA